AGCAAGTGAAGTAAATGGAGAATGTGTCGATTTAAATTTGCACATGTGTTTCTCTAGACTTTTCAATTATTAGGCAAGCTCCTAAAAGACAAAAATAATTTCTTTTTCTTTTCTTTTTTCCCCATAGCAACGAGAGTAGAGCTTGGCACGGGCCACGTGGAGGTCGTGGACTTTCTGGAAAGCCGATGGAAATTCTCAGGCCCCCGCTTCTAGGCCCAGGGACGAGGAGGCCTGTCGGAGTCTAGGTGTCTTCCCACTGGTGATTTTGTAGGAAATGAGCACTGCAGAGGGCGGGAGCCATGGGGGCCAGGAGGGCGGGGAGGGGCCTGGGTGGGACACCCGGGAGCGAATACCTCTCTAGAAGTCGGAGTGGACTGTGTAGCCACAAAGACGACTGACCACAGAAACACATTAATCACTGTGTTCTAACGACTTCACACACAGATCAGAGACAGAAAAGAATTAAGGAAAAACTTATCTACCACACAGTAGTATCAGCCGCTGGGTGCAAAATACACGTCCACCACTGGTCGGGCGATCACCGCTACAGCCACGTGTAGAAAGAGATGACGTTCTATTGGATAATTGGGCCTTTCTTCCCTAAAATATGCTTATAAATCCCTCGGGCCACTGTTCGGTGTTGATCACGTGATCTACCTCTCTGTCTCTTCTAAGTCAGAGTGTAGTTAGTTTTACACTGTGCTGTGTATTTTATCTGTCCCTGTTCTTGAACACATGGTTCAAGTGACAGTACGTAGTCCCCTTTCCTTTATGTGAAAGAGACTATATTTTATATACCCGAAGTTGGAACCATTTACATGCCACAAATGTATTTTTGAGTTAGAAGCAAAATTCCTTAAAAGCAAGCAAAACCTGGATCCGCTAAGGGCAAGAAAAAAATGGTGAATTCAGGGTCTTGAAAACACGACACAATGAATAACCAAACCCAGAATAACTAAGCATGTCTATGTGAAAAAGTCTGTGAATACAGCAATAGAACAAAATACATATATGATAAAACAGCGATATAGAGACAAGCTTAAATAAAATATGTGCACTTCATAGACAAGAGAACGTTCAGCCAAAAAGATTACATCTAAGTTCACAAAGGACAGTTTAAAAAAAAAAAAAAAAGGGCCTCTATATTCTGATTTAGGGATGTTGAAATAGCCTGTATCCTGTGACCTGCACTTGATATTTCAATTTATGTAAGAAATCCTTCCCAAACATATTGTAAATGGGCATCTGTTACCGCTTATCTATGAGAGTTCAAGTACAAACTGCTGCTCATCATCCAAAAACGATGAGTATCTGAGACACATGTGACTTCACATGCTGCACAATAAAGGCGCCCACGGCTTTCTCGCGAGAACGTGACCCCACGGCCATGAGGCTCACGCCTCCTACATAGGGCCGACTCAGAGTTAACCTTGACACAGAGTGCACTCTCAGAGGGGGCTGGGCGTGCAGCGGAAACTCCCCGTGTGTATTCTAGACAAAGCAGCAGGAGGGGCGCGTGTGGCGACGAAGCGGCTCACGTACTTTGCGAAGCCAATGAAGTCTTCGTGGTTGGTGTTGATGTATGACACCTGGATGTCGATCAGGAGCAGGACCTGCGGGTCAAACAGAAACGCCTCAGTGGCACCATCTTAAACGCCGAACTCATTAACAGCCTGAAAATGATTTGTCTTCGTTTAATTTTAAAAGGATATTCAGTTAGAATAAAGAGTTGTGTTCGTTTTTTTTTCATGAGACTCACATAAGTTTTACTCTAAATTCGGAATTTAAAAACCTACATGAGAAGTCTGAGCCTTGCATGAGGACGATAGTATTCTAGTTTATAGGCGTGTACGCTTTGCCAACTTAGCAGAACCTATAAGTGTTCTATTCCTCTAAAACGTAGGTATAATGTTCAAAAGAAGGACACGTGTATCTAAAAAGATACGTGGCAAGAAGGACAATGAGGGGCCGCTTAGAGCTTCCGGCTCCTGGAGACACCATACATTAGCCACGAAAGAGCAACAGTATCTCCTGTTTTTTCCCTCCTCTCCTATCGCTTCACACTCCCCGTAGGCAAGCAGAAGCAGCATCTCATCGACCAACTCAAAAAGGCAAAACACAAATAAATGGAAAACCTCCTTGAGATCGATAAGCTTCATCGTGAAAGCAAGGCTTCGGTCAGGTCTCGCCGAAAGGTCATCTCTTCAGAGGGCCCCCCGCTGCCCGTTCCATCTGCGTTAGCACCCTCCTCCCTCCCACCCTGGCACTCGGCCTCATTTCCCTTGGCAGTGCTGCCACTAGCTGCCACGGACCCCGTCTGCTGGAGCCACTGCCTAGAACAGGGCCTGAAACATCGTGTGAACCCATTCGGGGTTTGCCAAGGAGTGAACTCAACACATCTTCCAGGAAACATGGAAATGTTCTAGTCACGAGACACTTCTAGACTCTAAGTCCGAGATTCGGAGGGTCCCCTGTAGCAAACAGTCTTCAGTGGGAGACAAGGAGATGAACAAGGAGAGAGGAACTGGAAACTGAGAAAGAGCTTTATTCTGGAGATGTGCAAAACTGAGTTCCCCTTCCTGTGTCCTTTTTGTTCCCCCAACTGGGCCCCTGGCCCTTCTAGAATGCTGAGACTCGCCAAGAGGGAAATAAATATACTTAAGAATCTCTGCCCATGAACCTCCAGAGCTCTGCACTTTGACCTTGCTGAATGAACTTCTGATGACTAACGACAAGTATTTTTATAATGCCTCCCTTCACCAAAGGTGACACGAGTGTATCAGAGGACTCATAGTGACAGCTCGGTGACAGTCTGTATATCGCTCCCCAGGGGGGACTTCCGCAGGAAAGCCTTCCCTGATCCTCACCCCACCCCCTCCCCCAAGACCAGGCTGGGTCACACTATTACTCTCCTGTAGCCTATATGTCAGGTAATACATTTATTGCACCCCACACCTGTTATTTGTGGTGTTCGCCACTGATATAATTAATTATTTGTATATGTTTTGTTCCCTGGAAGACTGTAAGCTCCACGGAAGCAGGAAGCTCGTGCATGTAGCACGATACATGTAGCAGCCATCCAGTAAACATCTGTGGCTATAAATTTTATAACTATCTCCCAGCCTTGAAGAACAGTTTGCTTTAAAGGGAGCGATTTATTTCCAAATAATCAGTACACGGCTTTTTGTTTCTCGCTCACTACCCAACACTACGGGCTCTGAGGCTTTGCTCTTAGGACAGATCTCAACTGTTCGGCTGACCAAATCTGGCTGTGAGTCCCAAGGGGACCTGCCCCAAACCCATCCCCGCACCGACGTGAAGTCAGGGCACAGGCACCATTGGGTCGATACCACCACATGTGTACAAAAAAGTTGCATGTCATCAGATTTGGTTTTGTTTCTTTTCTTAATAAAGAAGACGGAAGAGTCAGGAGTGATCTTTACAGAATTATCTGTGGTCCTGCCTCTATCCTCCCCACAACAGAGCCTGGTTCTGTTAAGTGTTACACTCCCGAATCCATCTGGCCGGGAGTTTGTATCAATAAACAATAATATTTAAACACGAATATATTGTTGCCACCACAAAGAGCAAAATATCTACATAATTGTCAACGCTGCCAAAGGCTGTCACGAACATCTTGGACGTTCACACACATTAACTTGGAAGGCAGGATAGGAAAAAAGTGGAAAAAATAAAAACTATGGCTGTTCTCATTCATATTCCTGGAAACTGGGAGTCTGTGTCCATCCTAGGAAAAGAGCCAGGTCACATGTGGGGGACGAAGGGGAAGCGAATGCATTTTTTCTCATTTTTTTGTACTTTCTCAGAGTTTCTCACTGCCTTTTTCACCCACAGTTATTGAAGATTTAGCTGAAGAGAAATAAAGCCACCCCCGGTGGCGGTCGTCACCCACAAAGTCGACCACTTCGACATGCGAGTTCATGTGTGGGAGCACCTGAAATAATAGCGGCCACACATCGATGTTCAAAAGGCCTTTGTTTTAGAAAGAAATCGTAGACGGATTTACGGTTTTCCAAAATTTTTAATTTTGAAGAATTTTTCCTCTCACAAAGCTCCCAGAGCAGAATTTGGTAATAATTTCATTTAAAAAATCAAACAAAACTGCAAGAAACCTCAAAACAGCTCTGGCGCAGAGGCCGGAGGGAACTGGGTGCTGACCAGCTACCTGGGAAGTCCCAAGTGGGCGCAGGCAGCACGGCGGTCAGAACTCAGATGTGGGGGCTGGGCGAACTGACGTGTTCACGTGACCCACATGCATGTTTTTACTGTGCCACACAGGTCCCCAGTGGAGATGGCGAGCACCAGCTTCCTCAGGCGGGTAACTTTCAGACCAGGCCACCTGCGATGGTCACTCGGGAGGGAGACGCCCGCCCCATCCCGTGTCTCCCGCTAGGGGAATTAATCGCTATGTCAGAGATGCAGATGAAAGACAATCTCCCTTGAAATCAGAACAGGCAATTCTTTCTCAAATCTACTATGTGTCACAGCTCTTTGGGGGAGGCGGGGGGCGGGGGAACACTAAAACTAACGAAGACCTAAGAGCCATATTTGGATTACTTCATTTTGATTTCATAAAATGCCTGAGTTAACTACCAAATTTTTCTCAAGTGTGAAGATGCCGACTAACTTGCTCATTTACACAGAAATTAAACAGTAGAGCTGGATTTGAACTCAGGCCTCGAAGCCAGAGCCCACAATCGTAGCAATGATGCTAAGTTTGAGTAACATCATTTCGGTGAAACAAAAACTCTGAAACATGAAACTTGAAGAACAACTCCTTTAGATATGAACACAAAGATAATTAAGATAATAATTGTATTACTTTGCCTTCAGCATCGTTTTTGCACAGGATCCCTAAGAGTTAAGTAGGACATGTTATTGCTTAAATTTTCTAGAACAGAGACATTAAATTGAAATGCTTATCTTATTTACTTAAGGTTGGGAGGACGGTTGATACTGGAACTTAAGTTTTTTTGGTCCATCTGGTCTGAGCGTTCTATATCTGACCCTACACTTGACCTCGCTGGCTCCTGAGTTAACCTTGATTTGTTTATCCCCACTAAGTCACAAAGCCTGTCTTCTCCATTTTTGGTGATGGCGGCTATCCAAAGGTGTGAAAGTTGGAAAGCAAGTGAAAACTATAAAGAATGGTTAACTTTCAAAGCACAGCGAGGAAAAGGAATAGCAGTGAATCCCACGGCGTAAGCAGGGAGCAGGTTGCTACGGGAGTCACTCACCAGGATCCCGACCTGCCCGGCCTCCGTCCCTCTGTCTCCTCACTTTCTCCTTCCACTCGCCCCACCCCCTCGCCCCACCCCTGCACACACCCCGGCTGCACGGAGCCTGTATCTCTCCCCCTGCAGTTTGCTCTGTCTCTCTCTTCTACTTTGCCTTCCTCCTTTTCGCCAGTTCTCTCTCTCCTCCTTTCCAACTCAGCAGAGAACCACAAAATCTTGGAATTCTAACGGATCATACTTCTGAGATCATATACACCAACATCCCTGTGCTGCACATGATAAAACAACAGCCCCGAAAAGTGATTTGCACAAGGAGAACACATGGCCCACGCCCAGGGTCTTCTCCATCTCTCAGCTGCGTGCTGGAATTACAGAGCATCTGAAAACTCTTGCATTGCCCATTACGATGTCTCATAAGCAACTCAGAAAAAAATCCACCGAAACTTAAGAAGCTTTTATTTTTCACGTAGTCCTTAACCTTTTTAAATGAATTATCTGCATTTGAAAATAATCTTTTGAATTCACAGAGCTGGCTAGGATTCGAAGACAATTTCAAGGTCACTCCCAACAAACCATACGCATTTACAAAACAGTAAGAAATGTTTAAAAGAGCTGTGCTTAGAAGTTTATATTTTTCCATGGATAAGCTGATGAATAGCTTTGTTCATTATCCTCAGGAAAAAAAAAAATCAAAACACGGAACATTTTGCATAACATTTTAGGAATTTATGACTATCCTGGCACCCATCTGTGGGCCTATTAAAAGTTAAGAACCCCCGTCTTAAAGAAAAAATGTGGTATGTTTCTGGATTCGTGGGTTTCAAAGTGGGCTGTGTCCACGCTAGGGATGCACGTGAGGATCCATGCGGCGTAGGGGAAAAAATAAAGGAATGCCTATAACTGCGTTTTAAATTTCCTCCTTCTGAAGTCTTTATATTTGTTTATATTTTTAACATGCACAAGATGTTAGCATAGTAACACATGTCTACAATTTATAAATAACTAAAAATAAGCATACGTGACTGTGTTCTTGGCGATTTTTTTCCATTCACGATGGCCGACTGCTGGCGACCCACCGTGGGGGACCCTCCGCATCCCACGAGCACCCTGCCCTCCAGGGAAGGCCTTGCCTCACCTGGTCCTTCGTCTTGCCTTCTCGCTCGCGAATGTGGTTAGCCACAATCCGTTCTGTTTCTTCACAGAGTCTGGGGAAGTTTGCCAGCTGTCAAGAAAAATAGATTCGAGTGTTAATATTCAAAAAGTTATACTGCCAAAAAAAAAAAAAAAGCAGCAGAGATAAATGATGTTATTTTACAGAATATAGGCATTACAATTGTAGAAGCAAAAGTGAAATATCCTGAAGAACAGCAGTGACAGAAGAGGCTCCACAAACTGTCGTCAGGAGTTAACTATGTTATCTGAGGAAACACTTCAGGACCAGCGGAGAAATGCCTTACGGAGAAAACAGAAACCCCGATGCCATCTAGCACTGTGCTCCTCAGAGGTGGCGCTTAATAAAGTTCAAAGATGAAGAGGATGGAAACGAGGATGAAATGATAATGACCAACGTTTACAGGGTGTTTACGTGTTGGGGCCTCACGAAATCCCTCATTCGAAATTCACAACAACCATAAAATAACCCCATTCTGTAGAGGGGGACAGCAAAGCACAGAGAGGTCAAGCAACTTGCCTGAGACTAAACAGCTCAAAACTGGGGGGTCCGGGATTCCAACTCACATCCTCACACACCAGAGCTCACGGTCTCATCCACGCTCTGATAATGGTTCAGTCCATGAACCACAGAGATAATTTATTTTTATCTCTCCCCGAACAGATGTGTTTGTGTGTACACCTTTTTTTTTTTTCGGCGAAGTGTAGAAATAATGCGTGCCAATCACCTATCCCATCTAAGTTATGTAGGTGATCATCCAAAATCTACTTTGTAAAAGTAAATGAGTTAAATAATGTTGTTTTCAGTGTAAGGAAGGAAAAAAAATGAGATGCGACGAGGATGTTTAAGAAGCTGGTCTAGAAGGAGGGCTTAGCTTAGGTCAAGCTGTGTGGGGATGGCTGATGGCTGTGGGGAAATAGAGCTTGCGAGACACAGGAGCGAAGACGCTGGGGGACAGGGACAATGAGTGGAGAAAGAAGTAAAGGACGGTGAGGGCAGAAAGCGAGGAGGATGGCATTGAGGCAAAGCTGGAAAGGCAGACAGGGGCCCGCTGGCGCAGAATGCTCGCTCGAAATGTTGTTTTTAATTGCTGGCTCTCTCATGTAACTCTCCCGTTCCAATTTTTCATGATACGTGGAGGAACGTTCTGCTGACATCCGAAATGATTTCTGAGTAGACTTTGTGCCGCTCATCTCATTAGCTCACTCAACGGGATTCCCCGCTCGGTTTGCACAAAACTTTACTCCGTTTAAAAGGTACTCGACGCTGATTGCTTGCTCAGTCCCTCGCCTCACTTTTACGTCTCTTGCTTAAGGTGCAGTCGGTTTCCTCAACTTAAATCATTATAATTTTTAATCTCTTTTGCTCCGGATGTTGAATTGAAAGTTGTAAAGAATGTGTTTATTTTGCCAAAGTCATCAAAATTCTAATCACGTATGCCAAAATACTGATCTAGAAGATACCATCTGTAGACTTTTAGTCCCCTATTAATTATTTAAATGTTCTGTCAATTGATTTATATAGGATCGAGGAATTAAGGCTTTCCTATTGTTTATAATCATTTTGTATTCCTAAATTTATTTCCTATCAGTCATTCATTTAACAAACATTCATGAGGCTTTTGCTATAGGCCAGCTGTATGCTCAGTTTATGTCAAAGCATTTGATATTAAAAATCTCACAGTCTCGTGTGGCAGGTTCACTATACAGATAAATTGTAATGCAAAAAATAAATATCTTACAAAAATCAAGCAAAAGCACAAAGAAATAAATGGGTGTGCACTCTGAGAAGGCCTCAGAGGATTCGATGCCTAAATAATGAGAGTGAAACTTCCGGACAAAGCTGGACATCCATCCAACGGTAAATTACTTCTAAATAGTTTATTATTCAAATTGTGCTGAATACTATTAAATAATAAGAAGGTACAAAGGAAAAATAGTACAATGCATATAACTTTAGGAATTCAAACTTTAAATATATAATTCTAAGAAAAAAATTTTAACTACGTATTCTGAAAGAAAGCACTATAATTTCTAAGAAATACAAAAAAAGTTTTAATAAAATCCAATCTTTTAAGTGTTATTTAGAGTAATGTGTTTTTTTGGTGGGACCTCAATATAAAAATTTAATTTTAAGCATGAAACACTTTTTCCCTAGAGGAAAAAAATCACTTGAAAGACATTCCTATCTTAAAACAAAAATTACACACTTATAAAATTTATTAGCCATTGATTAATCAGATGACAGCCATGCTATTAGATTTCTCTTGGAACAGGCGTGAAACCAAGCAAGATTTCTATACCTTCAAGAGTAACTAGTTCGATGCCGTAAGCAAAGTCTCAGGTTATTAGGTAGCCAACCATCTGTTCATAGTTCCATACCAAGCATCAATGAGAAAATAAACCAAAACCAGAACAAAAAAATTTTTTATGCATATGATTTGAGTTGATTGGTTTGGCTGAGCTACAGATATGGGCTCTGTTTTGATCAAAAAGCTATAAACCTTCCAATGTCTAGCCACTCACTACAAAATGAGTAGCAACATATGAATGATTTTACTGCTCCTAAAAGCATACAATAATTTCATTCCATTTCTGTGAATTAAAACCTGCCCCCAAATCCCTAATGATCCTTTGTTTATGACATGATGTTGGATTTATCCAGGAGATGACAGAAATACCTATCTGTGCACAAAACTTTCGTTATAAAAAAAGAAAAAGCGGCATTCCGATTTACAAAGGTAATCAACGATGAGAAACAATTCCAGTGTGAAGAGGTAAAGAAATTACACAAGGGTAAATGGGAAAATATTTTATTGAGCGTTCTGTATTTTAGGAGGGGCACATGGAAAGTCTCAGAAGACCTAAGTGAAGCCGACAGACAGGGGAAGGAAGGCAGGTCCCACCCAGGTGGCCGTGGGGAAAGCAATCAGAGAGAAAAAAATATTGTTAGACTTCCTTCTCCAAGTCAACAAATCCCAAATCTCTAAACATCAAATGTTTTCTACAAACGATGAGGCACATAACGGAGGAACATACGTGGGATACTGGTATGTTCGTCCGTCACACACCTCGCCATTTCTTCTAAGCAGAGAAATGAGAACTCGTGTCAGCAAATGCTAAAGAATAGAAACCAAAAGGTCAGTCTTGGGTAAAGTAAAACTGAAAGGTTGTCAGAAGAGACATAGCCTCACTAATTCAGAAAACACCTAAAGAGAAGGTCAGGGTGGGTTGACGCTGCGTCGGAGCAACACCTGAAGATAATAATCAGGTTTTCATCTCTTGTCTTTCCAAGTTTACCTCTAGGAGACATAGTAATGAGTGGTCAAAAGGAAAAATCCAAACGGAACATAAGAGGAAAAGCAGAGGCCAAACTAAATTATAAACTAAGAATCCTTTAATGATTTGTGAGATTAAAAGGCGAGATTCCTGGAATATCACTCAGCCATAAAAAAGGAAGGAAATCTTGCCATTTTTAACAACATGGATGGACCTTGAGGGCTGTATGCTAAATGGAATAAGTAAGACAGAGAAAGACAAATACTTTATGATCTCGCACATATGTGGGATATTTAAAAGAAAAAACAAACAAAAACCCCCAAGCTCATAGATACAAAGAACAGATTGGTGGTTGCCAGAGGCAGGGTAGGGGTGAGGTGAGGGAGGGGGAGGGTAAATGGGTGAAGGTGGTCAAAGGTATAAACTTCCAGTTACAAAATAAGTCCCAAGGACATAGTTAGTATACGGCATGGTGACTATAGTCACTGATACCGTATAGTATATTTGAAAGTTGCTAAGAGACTAGATCTTAAAATGCCTCATGCTAAGAAAAAAAAATTGTAACTATGTGTGGTGACGAACCCTAACTAGACCTACTGTAATCATTTCATAATATGTGCAAATATCGAATCATTGTTATACATCTAAAATTAACACAGTGCTATATGTTAATTATACCTCAATTTTAAAAAACTGTTTAAAAACAGGCAACGACAATAAAAAGGTGATATTCCTATTCCTTAAAAGCCAAGTCTCAGGCTTGAATTCCCTATAATATCCAATAAAAGTTTCAAATGCTAATAACCAGACTGATTCGAAACATGAGTACCGTGACCTATTACATGAAGCACCTACTAAGTGCAAAGCACAACGCGGGTTGTTAGACGGGGCGGCTGTGAGAGGAGAGGAAATGCGAGTCTTCTCGTGCAGAGTAAAACACAGCAGATCTATCCCGACCTAAAAGGAAGCCCCATTTGAGCATGATGCTTTGTAGCTATTGTCCTTCATCCTGCAGACTTTTATGGAGAGTTAATCGAGTGGCTACTTCAGGCAAATTGATCATCACCTGTCAAGTCAGTGAGACGGGATTCATTTATTCTTTCTATCATTCATTCAGTAATTATTGAAAACCTAGCTGTTTAAGGGATTTTAAAAGGAACAAACCAAGTCCCCACCCTTACGGGGCTTACGGTCTCAAAGTCCCTTTACCGAACAACAACAACGAAGGACACATAGAGTATAATTCGTGTGGTCACATGTCACAGAAAAACTCCGATTAGGTGGCATGAAGCAGGGACCTGAGAGAAGCGAGGGTGGGCAGACACCCTGAGGCAGAGCACTTCCAACAGCGGGAGCCACAAGTGCAAAGGCCCTGCCATCGTGCCTCCTTGACCTGCTGAAGAAACAAGGGACCCACTGTAGCCGGAGTGAATGGCAGGCAGGAGGGAGTGGCAGGGATTCGGAGGTGAAAAGGGGGAAGGTCAGTGACAGCCATGCTCAGGGCTTCGGAGCCACTTGCCTGGCTGCGTGTCTCCAGGGCCAGATCATTGCTTACCAAACACACCACAAAATTCAACGCTTTTTCTAACAGCACTTTTGAATGAAAAAAATCTCCCTGTATTTCTAACAGCCAGCTAAGGTATCTTTTTTTTATTTCCTTGCAAAGCTTTTTTCTTTTTTCCAAGCAGGGGAGAAAAAAATCAATTAATTGGTATAATGGTGATCCAAGAATGCGGTTTCCCAAGGGGCCAATAAATGGCACGGTCGCTAAACTGTGGTTAAAAACACAAGATGTTCCTCTCAGGGCCTCCCGACGAGAAACTCAGGATGCCACAGGGATGCGCGGGGGGGTGGGAGGGGTGGTGCCGGGGGCTGCAGCCACCGGAAAATGTCCAAAGCCGAGACATCCCTGGAGACGTCCCAGAGTGCGCCTGAGACTCTCATGCTCCCATCAGTCCCCCAGTGCCCTGAGGACACCAGTCACAAACAGCCCTGAGCCAATGCATCCCCCCCACCAGGTTAGAAGCCTAGCTTTGTGCTTTGTTATTTGGACACACAGAAATCACATGTGTTTTACTGATGTTTGTTTATGTGGCTTAAGAAAAAAATGTACTATGTCACACATGAGACATTTGACACGAAGAACTGTAAATGAAAATACTGTTAAAGTTACGTATATATAAATATACATAATAAATATATATATATTCACAATACAGCTGGAGTAACTGTATGTTCTAGATTGCCCGCAGCAGTCTTGGTTCACTCCTATTTATCCCCATGAAATTATTAATAACTCCTCCTTTCAATTTCAGAACTGTCCTGCATTGGATGGTAAATTGTACAGTCACCTTATCTACGGTTCATGGTCGAAAGGAATCAAGTGATAAAGTCCTAGCACCCTCGAGTTTCATCAGGAGGATTTGACTTTGCAAAGTGTTTTAATTAGACCAGTTTTAAAGTAGAAGAACCTGCAGGTAAACATATTATGACCAAAAAGCGAGAACATCAAAATAAGGAATAAGGACAAGGATAGATAGTTCAAAGAAAATCTGTCTAAATTTTACCATTTTAAAAGGGATGACTAAAATCCTCTTTTAAAACCAAGTACAGATTTCTTGAGCATCGGGGGCACTTTAGAACATCTAAATTGTTAACAAATATTTATAGAGGCCTTTTATGTAGGATTAGTCACTGTGTTAGACGCCAGAGATAAGATAAAAGGCACAGATCTTTCTTAAAAGGAGCTTATAACGAGCAAGAGGAGGCATTGACCTAAACAAATAAATTACAAACAAATCACAATGCAGTATCGTAAATGCTACGATGGAGTAAACAGGGCACCGATGGAAGCCTCGAGAAGGGCCTGAGGTTGGAGACCAGGGGAGGACTCACAGAAACCCTGAAGGAAGACTTTTTTGGGGGGAAAAGGGGGAGATGATAATTGACCTGGATTTTAAAAAATGAGAGGAGATGACAGGTGAAGACAGGAGGCAGCAGGAGACATTCTAAAGAAAGAGAGTCACGTGTGTAAACACCGAAGGCATGGAAATCTTTGCGGACAGTGCACGTTGCTTAGAATGGCTGAAACGAGCAGAAAGTGACGAGAGCTATAGCTGGAGAAGTATTCAGAGATCAGACGGTGACACTAAACACAATGACTGTAAATGATTTGAACGTCCTCAAGACACGCGGAGCCACTGAATAATTTTGCAGCAACAGGCAAACGTAGATGTCTGTATTTTAGAAGGGCTAATTTGACAGCTGTGGGGAGGATAAATCTGAGAATGGCCAGACGGGACGTAGAAAGATCAGTTAGGAAGCCACTGGACTAATTTAGTTTTAAAAAACCGTTCAGAGCCTTAAGTAAGAACAGAGAAGCAGTAGGCTGGAGACAGTTTTCGTCCAGGGGCTCAAGCTGGAGGTGTAGATTTGAGAATCAAGAATATTTTCAGTGGTAGTTGAACTTTGGGAGACATAACAGGACAGCGAGGGAGGAAATCCAGGAGCGAGCTCTGCTGGACTCATGTTTAGAGGCAGGCAAAGGTGGATAAACTCTTGAAGGAGATGGAGAAGGAGCTGTGAGACAGATGGGAGAGAGCCCGCGGAAGAGGCAGGCTGTCCGCTTTGGAGAGAGAGTGGAACACAGTACCAGCGCCCTGGCTCCCCTGCCCACCTTGACCAGCCCTGGAGCTCAGGCCCTCCAGGGAGACACCTCTCCTTGGACGGCTTTTCCCTCCAGCATGCTTCAGAGAGCACATTTCCAGCAAGTTCTGCCAGCATAACTCTTGTCTTCCATTCAGTGAGCCATATCTACGCCCTGTCCGAGGGGCCCAGATCGTGGCCCCGGGCACCTGCTCCTTAGAGCTACTATCCCCACCTTCGAGGGTTCCCTTAACTTCTCACTCACCGACCCCACATGACTCTACTCCCCTGTCACGGGTAATACTTTTTTACAGTAAACGTTCCCCGTTTGAATGGCTGTGTGGTTTCTCTCTCTGATTGGACGGTGACACAATGGTCAGGAAAAAACAGAAAGTCAGGAGGAGACGCAGTTTGGGAGAAGACCAAGGCCGAAGGGCCTTAACGGAAGACTTTACACAGGGAGGTGAAGGCATAATATTTGGGAGCCACAAAAGGAGGAGCCGGCAAACGTCCTGCCTGATCCAGGCTCTTAGGTCCTTCGGGTTTGGGCCAATAAATATTTTTCAGTGAAGAGAGCCACGGGGTAAACAACAATCTCAGGCAGAAAGCTAAGTTTTACTCAAGGCAAACTATGAAGTGTCTTGAGGATTCAGTACAAATATACAACCGCCACTGACCGACAGTGCGCAATGCGAAGGGTGGAGAGCAGAGAATAAAAGCCACCGTGTCCGGAAGCGGGCCCCTCAGCCCCGCCGTCAGGCCCGAATTCCAGTTCTCCAGTAAGCCGAATGCAATGAGAAATGATAAAAAAAAAAATGACTCATACATACCATAAACACTTTATATAACTTAAAACATAAATGTACACACATGTGCACATCTTTTGATGTGAGGCAAGGCCTGTTTCCTGCATATGGATCCGCTGATTGGAGTTATGCATCTTCTGTCCTACATAAACCACATCCTTCAGCTACGATTCCAGCCTTGCTCTCTTTAAAGTGGAGGGAGAACCTGAAGACGCTTGTGAAGTCATCGGAATGCAGGGCCCATCTAGATTTTTATACCCTCCGCCCCCCGACGCTCTCAGAGCGCTGTCCTGCCCACACCTGGTCCAGAGCAACGCTTCCGCAGCTGATCTTTATCATCTTTCCAAAGCTGAATTTTACAGAAACAAAACTCAAAGTCTTTTCTGCACTTGATCGGTTTATTTACTCTTCACTTAAACCACATAATTAAAATAAGAACTACGACTGGGTATCTGGGTTTGAGGAGAAATACAACGCAATTGGCCCCTGGAAAGAAGACGGCTTAACTGGTGGGAACAGGTGTGCCTGGGCCACCCAAAGAGGAGCCTTTGGCTGAAGAAATCGGTGTGCTGAGGGTGACGGTCCCTGCGGTTAACTCTCTGAGTCAGTTGCGAGGAAACCAATTAAGAGCGCTTTACCTGCACAGGTGGCAAGACTGAGGGCATTGTGAGGTGTGGGCAAGGACAGGGGATGTGAGGTGTTACTCAGAACCGGCTCCAGCTTTCCGACGGAGTGCTAACGGAAGGGTTGTTTCGCTCTTTCCCACGTGCATTCACTTTCCTTTCCTTGGTCCCTGAACTTCTACGGCTTTTCCCGTTTTGGAGAAGAGAAACTAGGACTTTAAGGAGCCAGTGACAAACCAGGAAGAGGCCTAGAGAAGGGGTGTGAGGCTCCAGAGCCACTTCTGGACCCCAAGCTAGTGGCACATACCGCACCCCCCACCCCGCCCCGTCTTTCGCATTGACCTCCGGGAAGTTAGCTTGCTTCCTGTCTCTGTCACCACTTACATCTTTTCTTCCTCTGAGTCGTTCAGCCAGGTAGCTGAGGACCAATATTCATACTCATCCACATTCTCTGTCTCTCCCATTCTTTCTCCTACTTCCCACTGGATTTTTAGAGAGGTTACTCATAGTTACCATACAGAAAGGAACAGGTAACAAAACCAGAAGTATCTGTACTTCCAAGAAATGACCAAAGTACCAGCGTTAACTGCCATGAGGCTGGACCTGCCCTACCCTCAGCTTCGTCGCTAACTCCCTTCTCGCGTTTTCCGACACAGGACACTCCTTTCACGTCCCTGTGGAATGACTGGAATCCAGCACAATTCTGTCGTGCTCTTCACTGAGGCGACCCCCAGACCGAAAAGTCTGTCCCCCACCATCCTACATCCTAAATTCAACAGGCGTTGCAAGGTGGTGGTGACCATTTATAGATTAGCCACCATTTACTGACCAATTACTGTAGTTAATCAGTGTGTTAGGGTCCTATGGTTTTCAGACACCGTCTTATTTAGTTCCCACTAAGGCGGTATTATTATGACTATCATCATCCCATTTCACAGAGAAATTAACAAGACTCTGGGGATTAAGTATGATGCTCAAGGTTCCAAAGTGAATAAGTATCAGAGCCAGGATGTGAATCTAGGTGATTGGAGCTCAGAGGCTGAGCCCTTTACAACACCACACTGCACCTTCCTGGGACGTCCAGGTTCAAGTGCGCTTTGTTTCAAATTTAGAAGGACTTCCTTACCGATATCCACGGTACCAGTGAGTCCGTTCCCCTAACAATCCCACCCGCGTGCCATGGGAAAAATGAGGGCATTCACCTATTTGTTCTAAAGTGACGTTTACCTGTTTAAGACAAGGAGAAAACTCGCCGACTAAAACACAATCTTTCCAGCTTACGCAACCCTATTTGGAATGGGGTGACAGACGACAATATGCCTGTCTATCGCCGACGCGATTCCCACTCAGCACTTTTCATGATCCTTCCTCCAGCAAATACAGCACCTTCTGTGACAAAGTGAGGAGTCGGGGAAAGAGAGGCACATGGCAGGGTGGGAAAGATGGGTACGTCACACAGATGGGTTCACTGCTGGAAAGTGAAACGATCCACACTTACTTTTTTGGTACACTTCTTGACGGTGTTGATTAATTCTTGTATTACCAGGTCTACACTCTTCAAGGAAGGCCCTTTCAGCTTTACAATTTGCTTTTTGACTATTGCTTCAAACGCCATGTCTGGAGTAAACAGCCCTGTCCTGAATTTAAGAAAGAGAGCATGTTAGATTTTTTTAAATGAGTAATATCCTTTTGAAAATGTTTTATTGACATGCCACTTAAAGTCAGCATGTAATACCCAGGTTTAGAAGTTACACACTGATTTATTCTGGCCACAGTATCACTTGTAATATCTTTAATCCTAATATTCCATAATAAATTCTAGTCTATGGATACTTAGCATTACCTAAAAGTCCCCGAAATGTTCTCGTGTTGTATTACGTAGCCTTTAACTAACAAATATTTAACCGTAATTTGTCTCATCTCACAGTGTCACAGCAATAAAAAGGAACGCTACGGCAGGAATGGTGTCCTCAATTCACATTTCTGCTTCTAAATTATTCCAGAAGCCATCCCCTCGTGTCCTTTGTGGGGTAGGAAATGAGCCTCGTTTTCTGAATGCTACATCAGCGGCGCTACTGGCAGACAACAATCCGTACTTTCCAGGAGAGCTACGGCATGGCGAGCCCAGTGGGCCCCAGTCCGAGGTCCCAGCGAGCTAGAGGAAAAAGGAGGCAGGTAAACGGAACCAGCTTGGGACCCAGGATGCCTAAATGAAGAATTTACAAAAATAACAATAATCGCTACAGCCAGTACGTTTTTCATTTGGCTAGAATTAATTCAAATTGGTACAGTAACAATGCTTTTCTCATACAGTGCAGGAGGCTCAGGAAAGCCGATGTGTGTGTGTTTGTGTGCATCTCATAGACAGTGAAAAACGTTTACTCGTGTTCAAACAAAAGCTCAATGGAGAAAAGCTACAGTGAGAGGGACTGGACCCTGGGCACCAGCCGCGCCAAATACCTGCAGGCTCCAGGCGTCGGCACTGGACGCTCCCTCTCTGAGACCCTCCTGACTCCCTCTGCTCACATCTTCCTTGCTTAACTTCTCTTCCTGCAACACTCAATTCTGTGAACACCTTGCAGGAAAGTCACTGCCACTCACTTCCTCGACGCCAGCTTCACTCTACGTCCATCTTACCGTCGGCGTAGCACCCTTTGCTGCCCGCTCTTTCTGCCTGCGGTGCTCATCCTCTATCGTAACTGTCATCTCTCCACCTCGGATACAGAGCACAATCCACGCTGTTCAGTCTAACATTAAAAATTTCCCCCGTCCGAGCCTGATCTTCCTTTTATTTTCCTCCTTCCTTCCACGCACCCTATTCCGGCCAAACCGGGCCACGTGCCTTTCCGCAAACACACTCGTGCCAATACTTTATGTCTCTGCCTTCACCTACGATGTTCACGTCAGCCTCCCCACGATCTCGATCTGCGCAGATCCTTCCTGCGCTCCGAGGCCCAGACCAGGAGCAGCCACCTCCTCCAGCGCGCCTCCTGCCATCCTGCCAATGACAAGGTCTGCCTTCTCCGAACCCCGACGCCCTACTTCCATTGCGGTGGTCTGGGCACATACGTCAGTCCCATTGCTACACGAGGAGGAAGAGTCACTACCGCATTTGTCTTATTTGTCGCACAAGACTGTCCCCCGGCTGATCATTGGCACTCAGTGCGTGAGGAACGGAGGAGGACCGGCAGGTCTTTACTGGGCAAAGATGGTTTCTGTTATTCAAATATCTCACAGAATCGACTGGGAACAACACTCTTCACAAGTGTATTTAAGGGCCTGAATAATCGCACCGTTACCATGTCACACTCAGGACACTGTGCTCTTCTTATCTCACAGGCTAATTAACTCGAGAATAACAACAGCCAGGCTCTTCTGCTGGGGCGCGCATAAATCGGAAATCTACAGGCCTTTAAACTACATTCAACGAAAGGGTGTCTGGTAAGGTGTTTTAAAAGCCAAGTAAAAGTACTGTATTTGGCTAAGTAAAAATATTTTGTGGCCCCAAAAATATGACTTGGTACCACTGCGTTTTCAGACAGACATGTTCAAATACTAGTTCTGCCAGGCTACAGAGCAAGACACAGTTTCTATGCCAAAAGAATTCCGGATTTGAGGGAGAGTGAAGAGCTCGAATAGGGAACTTAGAAATCATCCTGATGGTGAGAGAAACTGGATTTGGTTA